CTCATAATCTGTAGACCAGTCTGGTATCCAATGACTAGCCCAAATCAGCTCACAGTTTGTGGACCAGTCTGGCATTTAACAACCAGCCTAAATCAGCTCACAATTTGTGGACCAGCCTGGCATCCAACAGCCAGTCAAAGTCAGCTTACAGCTTGTGGACCAGTATGGCATCCAACAACCAGCCCAAGCTAGCTTGTAAACTAAGGACCAGTCAGGCATTCAATGACCAGCTTAAGCCAGCTCACAGTATGTGGATCTGTCTGGTATTCAACAATCAGCCTAAGCCAGCGCACAATCTATGGACTAGTTTGACACCCAATAAATAGCCCAAGTCAGCTCACAACCTGTGAATCAATCCGGCATCCAACAACCAGCCCAACCATCCAACAACCAGCCCATCCAACATACAGATATCACAGTTTCTGTATAATAATAATAATAAGTGGGAGGAAAAAAAAATAACAGAAACTCTTTAGAGTGCGGATGAAGCAGCACACTGTTCCCTTTGAGAGCATGGGCGTCAGTTTGGTTTGAAATGTGCTGGGGACAGAGACGTATTCGGAAGGGCATTTTCAAAAGTGCTGGGTACAATGGATTCGCATTCATTCTTTTTTTCTCTTTCGAGTAGGTCATGTTTTGAAAGACGATGTCCTGTAGCTTCCTGATGTACATAAATAAAAATGAGCACAATGTCCGAGTATAGTGAGTATATAGAGTATATACGCCCTTTATTTGTATACAGTGGTGGTCCAGAGGTAAATTTTTTGCCTAGCGTGTCGGGATTCAGGAGGTTCGAGGTTCTAATCCGCACTCGTATAGTTTCTTTTTTCCCCTCATCAAAACCAATAATGTGTATCAGTGGTTGAATTGATATAATGTTTATCAGTGGTTGTATATGTTTTGATGAGGGAAAAAATATACGAGAGCGGATTAGAACCCATGAGAAACAGGGAGGACACGTTTGTGTGCATTTTGCTTTGTGATTTCACCGGAACGAATCTCCGCAACGAATTGAAGCGTATTTCCGAGAGAAGACAACACATTTCAGTGCTAGATCGCCTGTTATTTAACAAGTAAATGAAACGAATGCTGTTAACTGGAGGTGTTTTATTTGTATTGGTACATCTGTGCCGTGAGATGTTTCAAAAGTGGTGGGGACAAAATCGACCCTGGAAAAAAGTGGTGGGGACATGTCCCACCCGTCCCCCCCGTAAATGACACCTATGTTTGAGAGGAACAGTGAGAGAGTCAAGGAACTATGACGACAGTGTGTCCAGGTACAGTGTATTTTCAATTCATTGTCCAGTTCTATAAGCTTTGCACTTTGCAAGCAGGTAACCTACACCGTAATAGGTTATGGTATACCAGCCCAGTCTCATCCCAAGGCGTCATATACTGATGCTTTTGAGATTGCGTCTACATCCGACGCACATGGCACTCTTTAGCGTCAATATGAGACGCAGATATACATGGGCCAGAAGGTGTCTCCTAGTGGTCTAACCCTACCCCAGACCTAAACCTACCCATAACCAAAGCGTGTTATATTGACACTAAAGGGTGCCATGTGCTTCGGATTTAGACACAATGTCAAAAGTGTCACCATATGATGCCCTAGGATGAGAATGCGTTGGGTATACAGTAATGACATGATTTACATTAACTTTGTTTCAGAGAGTTATGGAATTGAAGGCCAACCAGGCCCCTCATGAATTCATATACATAGATGAGGCAGAATTCAGTCTGGCCAAAAGGCGTCGACGTGGATGAAATTTAATTGGAAAAAAGGTCACCGTTGATGTGCCAGGACAGAGAGGGGCAAACATTACCATGCAAATACAGGATTGCTCCTTCACAGATGTGAAGGTTGGACTTTATAATACAGAGCGCATCCTTGCCTTTCTCAATGATCTACACCTGGTTCAAGAGCAGGACCTTTGCAAAGGACCTTTGTAATTACCTGGGACAATGTGGCCTTCCATCATTCGTAAGCAATAACACCATGGTTTGAAGTCCACCCAAGACTGGTAAGTCTCTTCCTTCCACCCTATTCAACTCTCCTCAACCCCCATAGAAGAGTTCTTTTCTGCTTGGAGGTGGAAGGTTGATGACCATCATCAGCCACATCACCAGATGTCCCTCCTTGAAGCCATGGATGCTGGCTGCAGGGTCATCACAGATCATGACTGCCAAGGGTGGACATAAAACATAACGACATAACAAGCGGTTTTATGCCAGGTGCATCACCTTGGATAATCAGATGTGATGTTGATGAAAACATGTTGCCTAACCCTGAAGATTGCTGAGATTATTTGGAGTAATGTTGTGCTTTTTAGTCTCCCTCCATCCCTTCCTTTTTATCTGGGCTTTTTACAGTTTTTTTTTTTTTCGTATGTGTTTCATGGATATTTTGTTTACTGTAAGCAATACTGTATAAAATTGTACAATACTGTACAGCAATTCTGTTCTATCATACTGTGTTTCTACTGTACCCTAAACTGTAAAGGAAAAAAAAAACTATTGAATGTCTTTGAATGTGAACATTATAGTACTTGTGGACATACAATTCACAACCAAGACCGTGTAAAAACGGTGGATTCCATGTTTTGCAGGCAAATAACTGTAAAACTGAAACATAATGTCTATGCAGTTTTTGTAATGTCAACAATGGCCAGTATTTTGATTGACTAGACCTTGTGAAGTGAAAACAAGTGTTATTCTTTGACAGAATGAATATGTCATGATTCTGCCTTCTTGTCTTTGATTTTTGTCTTGTCGTGAGGTAGGATCATGACAGAATCATGTTTTGTGTGCAAGCGCTTGGCCTTTTGGGCCATGTGCTTGTGTCATTAGTGATTAGTCCTTGTCATTAGTGTTCCCCTTTATAATACCCTTGTGTATGCTGTCCTGTGTCGGTTCATTGTTTGATGTGTAACTTTGTCTTATTTAGTGTGAGTTATTGCTAAACTTACCTGTGAGTACCTTGTGAGAGTCTTAGTGTTATTAGTGATCCTGTTTCTGTTGTTAGTTTATAGTGTAGTTTGTCAAGTGTTAGTCTAGTTTAGTCATACTGTGTTCTGTCCATGTTTTGGCCCCTCGTGGGTTTTGTTTTCTGTATAATTAAACGTTGAGTCACTGCATCCAGTCTACGCTTGGGTTCTCCTTCCATCCATATAACAGAATAACAGACTGAACTCTTTGTCCATGTCTTTCTTTCTTCAGTCGAAAAGAAATTAAGGGTTTTGATGAAAATATTCCAGGATTTCTCCATTAAATACACTTTACTGGTAACCAAACGGTTCAAGGTCCAAAAGACAATTTCAGTGCAAACTGTTCAAAGAGCTTTAAACGATTCCAGATGATGAAGGGTCTTATCAAGTGAAACGATTGCTCATTAAAAAAAATAAAATAACAAAGTTTAAGTTTTATAAGCTCAAATGCTCGCCTTGCTCTGTTCTGTGATGCGCGTTCATGACTCTGCTGTTCGAACTCGTTCATCAAAATGAGCAAATCTTTTTCCAAGTCAATTCATTCATTTCGTTCGTTGAATGAACCAAATGACACAAAAAAAGATTAATTCATTTTGATAAACGAGTTCGAACAGCAGAGTAACGACAGAGACATTTGGTAACAAACGTGCATCACAGAACAGAGTAAGGCGACCATTTGAACTTATAAAACTTCAACTTTGTTTGTTTTTTTAATGAGCAATCATTTCGATCTAAATGAGCGATCGAATTCTCTCTCGTGGCATGATGAAATACGACTGTACACTTCAGAATCTCGCCAGAAGAGTTTGGTCATCTGGTACTTTTTGCCTACTCTTTTATGAATACTACTGTAAATTCGGACATTCTTCTTTTGGCACATACTAGCTGCGTCCCAATTTGCATACTATCTGTCCTAAATAGTATTCGAAAATAGAATTAGAACGACCCAAATCGTAGTATGTTGAAATGAGTGTTTCAAAAATCCCCGGGTTGTCTAGTATTTCCGGTCAGAATCCGAAGTGTGGATCGATGCACACACTAACGGCTGATATTGCCCACAACCCATCGCGCTTTGGACGAGGATTCCTTTAGACCTAAAAACACAAGGGAAAAGTTTTAAGAAATACAGACATGGAGGACGCGTGTAGGGGTTTAGAGAAAGAGGTTTGTGTGATTAATTATCAGTTTCTGACCTAACGAAAATGAATTTATTCAATGTTGTCCACATTATATTGCATCTGCAGCTCCATTGTGAACTTCTGTAAAGATATGTTTAGCCATTACCTATTAAATGCATCATTATATTCAAATTGCAAACATGAGGAGAGTATCTGCATGAAAGACCCAAGACTGGCAGATCAACTGGCTCTCCGAAACGGTAGAAAATCAAATTAGATTGAATGGAGGATTTTGATTGTGACAAGATGATTGACTGGGCAGTATACGTGACAGAGCTGTCCGTCAAACATGACGTGATAGTATGTCCCAAAGCTTGCCTACTCTTTTGCTACACACACAAAAGAGTACATACTTTTAGGGCGTAGTATAAGTAAGCGAATTGGGACGCAGGGATGGTTTTCATCTACTATATAGTAGGGAAGTATGCGATTTTGGATGCAGCCATTGCTGTTGGTGATTTGATTTCTTGCCCTCATGTGATCATGTCATGTGCATTGGTTCATTGCTTTCAGGTGTGTCTTGTTATGTCATTAGTCCTTAGTATATATAGCCCTCATGTTAGTATTGTCTTTTGGTCTATCTTTATTTTGCTGTTGGTGAGTCTTGTTCATGTTTAAGTGTTATTGATGTTTAGTCAAGTGGACATATGTTACATATCCTATTGCTGGGTATCTTTGCAATAACTTAAGTTATATAAACTCATCGTTTAAAAAAAAAAGCATCAATAATTAAACACGCACGTGCATTGCTCATGTATAATTCAGTTAATCTTAAAGCATATGTAGTATAGCATTTTGACATTAGGTATAATCCATTAATATATTAACTATGAAATGCATTGATGTTTGTTTTATTTAACAGCAAAAAGTCCAGGGAGAGGAACCATCAAAATGGGAATGCCAGAGCAAACGTGACCAAGATGGGTTGGAAAATTCCTTCAATCTGAAACGGCTGTTGAAAAAAACGACAAATTAGAAAATTGTAACTTTGTAATTGTAAATTGTAAAAGTGTATTGTTTTCTGTACAGCTTGACCAAAGATTTCTGATATACAGATCCGGTTTTTGAAAAGATAATACAGTAATAATGATTAAATAATGTTAAGACTACAAAAAAACTATTATCAGCGCAATTATAGTTAACTAATACCATAAACTATTTTGAAATAAGTGAAATAAACATTATTCATTTTTTTTTTTAGTTTACATATATTTATAATATAAAGCTAGTTGAACAAACTCTGAGTTTCACAGTAGGTTTAGAGTTGACAAAAACATACACATCCATACATTAAAATAATAATAATAATTGAGCCTGAAAAATCAGAGTTTGCTCAAACTAACTGAAACTGGCTTCATGCAACAGGCCTAAGATTATCCTGTCAAACCAATCATTGCACTTTCTTTAGTTTTCATTGTTTTGTTTGTGTTGTTACCTTGCTTCTACTGAGGCGTCTGCATAAGCCAAACTCTTGACTGACAGGTCCACTGCTGTGCTCTTGCCAACTGCCATTGGCGAAGCTTTGCACTGTGATGTGATAGCTCACCAATCGATCTGGCCTCATACAGTATGGACGGCTCACTATGGAAGACTGTGATACAGCAGGATCCCAGTGTCTTAACCTCTACACACACAGGGGGAGACAGAGAGACAGGAGGGTGAGAGAAGATGCAATATCTTTTAAAGAATAGTTAACACAAAATATAACATTTTGGTCATATTCACCAAAACATGAGTTTGTTTTCCTCTGTGGAATTCATGCAGACATTAAAATATGATGCGTCAAGCCACAAAGGCAGGTTTACTACAATGATCAAAGCAGCAATTACTTAAATTTGGTTTTGTATGGACTTCATTTGGGTCTTTTTTATAGCCCCAGACCTCATTGTTTTTTTTTTTAGCCTATAGAACAGCAAACAAGCCATTCTAAATTTCCTCTTTTGTGAGAAATTCAGATTTGAAGCGACAAATGTGCATGAATGATGGCAGTATTCTGGGTAAACTAATTTACAAATTAAAATGAACACCACCAGTTACATACATTGATGGCTCCATCTGAAAGTGCCATCTGGTGGATACTTGCATTATAAGGTATAAGGTCCCCCTGTTAAAAATAATTAAACTTTAGGATACTTTTAAAAATGAGTACTTACTGCTGAAAAAATATACTTTAAATTAAGTAATATACAGTAGTGGAAGCTTGTTTCCACCACAGAATAAAAAATAAAATGGTAATTGCGACTTTTTACTCACAATTGCGAGTTTACATTTCTCAATTCTGATTTATCATAGAATTGCGTGATATAAACTCGCAATGCGTGTTATAAAGTCTGAATTGTGAGATATAAACTTGCATTACTGTGGAAAAAGTCAGTAGTTTTTCTGTAGAGTTGGACTTATAACTCGCAACTGCTATTTTATATCACACAATTCTTACTTTATATCTGGCTTTATATCTTAATGTGAGATAAAAAGTCAAAATTATCCTTTAAAAATGTTTGTTCTGTGGGAAACTTCCAAGCTTCCATAGAAATGTGTACTGTACTTAAGTGGGCTTGTATTTAATATTATATTATCTGCAAATACAGTTTTTTAATATATTTTTAAGACTTGAAGTCTACTACAAGTGCACGTTAAATACTCTAACCTCACACGTAACACGTAAAATGCTCTAACCTCAAAGGAGAAGTTGTACGTATCTGATTCGCCCAATTTAGCAGCTTTGAGAAGAAAGTAAAAACCACAAAGGCTGATGGTTTGAGTGCAGCACTCTTGTTCCTGTATGGCAACACACAAAATACAGCCTTACAAGCAAGTAAAAGAGCACTAACACATAACAGGTTAAAAAATGGATTGACTTTCGTTATATTTTAACAACAGAAATAGCGAGTGACTAAAGGACAGAAAAGCATAAAGCTAGAAACACAACTGTGTTAAAGGGGTGATGAACTGAGAAATCAAATTTTGCTTGAGCTTTTGACATCTAAGGTCACATGCCGTTTTAGCTTTTATTCATTTCCAGGATATGAATTCTTGATTTCAACAATTACAATGTAATTCTTGATATCAACAATTTAATTCTTGATATCAACAATTGTATTTTCACTAGTAGAATGTCACCATAGGCTGCCATTCAAAATAAATTGTTTATCAAGAATGGATTTTTTACTAGTAGAAATCAGGCTTGTGCAAAATTCAGAATTTCAGAATTGGCATCCATTCAATTCATGAATTGGAATTTGAATTGAATTGACTCCGCCCCACAGAAATTTGAATTGGATCTGGAATGACAGGAAGTGGAATTAAATTCATGGCAATTCAAAGAAATTCCACACAGTCACACAACAGAAAGAATGTGTTGAATCTCACATAGGGGAGAGCCGGGCACAACGTAACGCTTTTTGACTTTCTCAGTTTGTGGCAAATCTATTTAGAGTATTTATTTTTTCCCACATTAATTTCCCACATGTCTCGTACAATTATGTGGTTTTGTTTTATTAATAAAGTATATACTTTTTTCTTGATTTACCCTGAAAGAAATGTTGAAATGTGACAACATGCCCCATAGGTGTAAATAGCCTTTTGCTTATTCATTTTGATCTTTTTAATGTAAAAACCAAGCGAACGTCATAAGTTGACCTCAAACAACAATTAAAAAAAAATTAAAAAGCCAGTTCATGACCCCTTTAAAGAATTAGAAAGTGGACTGCACCCCATCAAAGATCATTCCAAACCGAATGGCTTGTTTGGAGAAGTCGGTCACGACCATATCGCCCCCGCTGTGAAGCTAAGGAAAAAAACACAGATTAACCATGAAGTTAATTAATTACTTTTCACTTGCTCACTCAAAAGTCAAATACAATGTACTGTATATAAAGCTGCTTTGAAACAAGCAGGTCATAAATTAAGTATGGCACTACATCTGGAGTGATGGGTGGGTTGAATATGGTGTTGTGTTTGAGGTCTCTACACATGCTCACAGTGTGATAATGGTTTGACAGGATGCTCAGCAGCCAGGATTCAGGAAGCACTCTGATGTTCTGCAGCTCCTGCAGATGCTGCCCTGAGACATCAACACACATAAACAACACAACTCAAATATAGTTTCTGGTAATACACTAAAAGTAGCAGCGCTAGTAACTTGAGCATGCTTTATCAGTTTTGTTACAGCAGTGCAGCTTTTCCAGTAACAAGCTACTTCTCCCAACAAGTATTGTGTGTGGTTAATTGACAATCCCTTTTTGTTTTAAACTCAAATTACATGCTTATTCCTCAAATGTGATTTTTAAACTGTGAAAACAGTTTTTTTAATAGAATATTGTTATTATAAATGATACATATATCATTATTTTTTAAATTCATGTGCCCTCATAATCTTAGAGTGACATCTCTTCTCTTCGTGTTTACTGAGGGAGAGCGGGACAACCTGTCACTCACATAAGATCTACCAATATCAAACCACAATGTTTCAACAATCAAATCAATTCCTGATGGACGTAATCAAGTCCTATCCAATATATTTTTTTTTCCTTTTAGAGAAGCATTTGACTCAGATATATGTAATAATAGGGAATAAAATACAAGTGCAACTTCCATTTCTTGTCAACTTTAATAATTTCTTCAGATCCAGAATCCTGCGTATGAACACCGTCCGCTAATAATTATTAGGGCCCGAGCACTAACAGTGCGAGGACCCTATTGAAACTGTTAGGGTTATTTTTTATTTTATTTATTTATTTTTTTCGCGGATGGGTGTGGCAAAATGGCTCCCTAGCGCCACCTAGAAAATTGCAAAAAATTAGCCCCTCGTCCACGTTCAACCTACAAGCACGAAATTTGGTGGGGACGTGTATCATATCAAGACGCACAAAAAAAACTCAAGAACCCATACCCTAAACGCCACAGGAAGTCGGCCATTTTGAATTTGGCGCCCATTTTGGGACGATTTACACACTCCGTACTTTAACGAACTCCTCCTAGGGATTTAGTCGGATCGACTTCAAATTTCTGCTGTGCCTTCTAAAGGCACCGACGATGTAAAGTTGTGCTACGTGCGCATTTTCGTCAAAGGGCGTTTTCGTGGCGTCGATGATTCGCCATGAAACAGGAAGTTGTAGTAACTTGGCTGTAAATGCCCAGATCTGCACGAAATTTTACACATTTGACAAGAGTCCCGCTCTGAACAAATCTACATGCCGACATTTACCCACAGTCATAGCGCCACCTGCTAGCAACAGGAAGTGACCTTTAACGAAGCAGCATAGCAAATGCACAGCCGCACTGGCTGAGCTGCAAAATATGCAACGCGGCCGCCTCAGACTCCGACGTGCTACAGGTGCGAGGGCCCGCCAATCGCTGCTTGCAGCTTTAATTTCCAAACAGGTTTCCCCATCTTTTTTTTTTTCAGATGAATAGGTATTTATTCTGAGTGTCAATTTGATATGTCTTGCACTCATCAATGTCATGAAAGTGCCACAGAGCATTTTATTTTAAAGGGATAGTTCAGGGATAGCTTTCTCTCTATGCAACACAAACTAATATAGTTTGAAGAAATGATAACAGTTTTCTTAAAAAAAAAAATCATCCGTACAATGAAACTCAATAGGGGTCCAAAACAACATTAGCTATGTTTACATTAAATCATTTTCATCAGTCGGTCAGAATGAATCCAATCCCAATTTTGAAAGTTATTTATATATAAACCCAAACGTTTGGGATCCAATTGAGAAAACAGTCAAGCGTTTACAAGCTTAATTCTCTCTTATTGATCTGATTGATTCTTATGTCAGGTCTACCCTTTCCAATCCGAATGAAATTCCATTTAAATCTAGTTCAGTTGGCTTTCAGTCTTTTCAATCCGTATTATTATTTGGTTGCATGTAAATTACTGTAGAACCCATCTGATTAGAATTTATGGCCCCCCCAAAAATAGTCAAGTAAGTCATAATCAAATAAAAAAAGTCAAGTTTGGTAAAACATGATGGTGAGCACATGTTTTCATAATGTTCTTTTTTGGATAAACGTATCCCTTAAACGTATCCACAGTGTTTGTGAGGCGTTTTCTGAATGGCTGACAGAGTTGTCATGTCTAGTGGGTTATATCACATTCTGGGTGTGTGTTGGGTGTCAAGTGGATGTAGTTCTGATTGTGTCCATGACGTGAGCCTGTAGCTGGGACACACTGTTTGTCAGATATACTCATTATTCTGCCAAACTGTCTGTTTTCATTTAAGCTAACAATGCAACAGTACTAGGAGATTAGGTGAAAAATCAAAGTTGTATACTTCATTTTAATGTTGTAGATGGTGTTAGCTTGTGAAACCTTCAAAACTTACATTCAGTAATGCCATGCATACGAAGAGCTTGAAATATAGTGATGTATTTTTGACCCTGAGGCTGTTCCAAGAAAACAGCCGTTTCCCTGAAGCAGACAGATACATGATGGAGGGATGTCATTACAAACAGCATATGTGCATGAAACTAGCTAAGCAGTAACAAGGTCATTTAAAAAAGAATGCATAGTTTGCTGCACAATTGAAGTCATTGAATTATTGTAATGTCCTCTGTAAATGGGGTTTTTACTGACTTATATTATACTAATGGGCCATGTGCATTGTGTTGTTGCTGATAGCTGTAAATGGTTTGATGGAGGTTATGTACCTGGAGAAGAAGTGGATGATGGTGCTATGGGCAGGTAGGGTCTCTCGGAGGGGGTTTAACTTCAGGTACAGCCAGTACAGCACTGCTCTCAAGACCTCGTATTCATTAGATGTAAACAGTCTAGACAAAGAGACCTTATTAGTTTCCTGCTGATTTGCTCCATCTGCTCATTTTTGATGCATTTTAAATAGTCATTATCTATGCAGAAGGTTATTTCAAGCTTAAAAAAGTGCTTAAAAAACTTGCTGCCAGGACATGCATCACCCAAAAAATTTACAGAAAAAAAAGAGATATATATTATATGCAAAAGTAATGCAATCAAGCAAGATCATATGCAAGTGTTTCCCGATGTGAATTGCCAGTGATACTCTTAAAAAGGTTGAGAAAAAGTATGAGACCTTGGACAACGCAGGGTCTTCAGCATGAGGTCAAAAGGCAAATCTTTGAGTTTTATGTGGAAGGAGAGTTCGGTAACTAGGAACAGCTCCAACCAGCGCTCACATGCTCTCTGGAGAAAAGTCTCTTTAAACTGAAAAACACAGAAAGAGGTTAGACCTTTATACACAGAGCTGAATACATAGCTCCCCCCATTGGTCATTTAAAGAACAATAGAGTAGGATGGAATAGGAATAGGATACATTTCATATAGTTTTATAACAACAACACAAATAATAATAATAATAATAGTTACCTTGCAGGACACTTGATGAAAGCTGCACACAGTCGAAGACGAGATATGTGCCATCATCTCTGTAAGACACCTGGGAGAGTGGGACAACCTGTCACTCACATAAGATATATACCAATATCAAACCACCACGTTTCAACGATCAAATCAATTCCTGATGGACGTAATCAAGTCCTGTCCAATATTTTTTATCTTATTAGAGAAGCATTTGACTCAGATATATGTAATAATAGGGAAGAAAATACAAGTGCAACTTCCATTTCTTGCCAACTTTAAGAATTTCTTCAGATCCAGAATCCTGCGTATGAACACCGCTATAATTATTTCCAAACAGGTTTCCCCAACTTTTTTTTTTTTTTTTGGTAACACTTTATTTCGATCCACTTTAGACATTCTAGTAACTATAAGTAACTTTTCAACAACATGTCAACTAACTGTGATTAGAGTATTAGTAGACTGTCAGCTTAATATCTGCTAACACTTTATTTTCAAATCATTCAACTGACCAAAAGTAACTTGGCGACTACAAGTAAACTTATTCTCCTAACCCGAACCCTAACACCTAACCATAACCCAACAGTCTACTGACAGACAATCTATAATAATATACTAATACTCTAATGAGAGTTACTTGACATGTAGTTGAAAAGTTACTTATAATTAGTAGAACATCTAAAGTGACTATCGAAATAAAGTGTAACCTTTTTTTTAAATCATATGCATCAGCCTCAAATTTAAATAATATTTGATATATCATACAACACTGTGCATTCATTTCAAAACTAAACATGTAAATAAATTGTGAGAGTATAAAATTTGATATGCATAATTACAAATTGATGCACCCATGGGAGACATGGACTGTGATGCAATGCATGTTGTAGTTTAAACTCGGCTGGGTGGAACAAAAACATTTTAGTGACTGTCTGCAGTGCCAAAATTCACATTCAGTTCCACCCAACGTACTGTATAAGAATTAATCTAAAACTGGACAAAACAAACTTCTCTAAAGACCAGGGTGTGACATTATGGACTTCTGGATTAGTGTTTATTTCACACACACACACACGGTTAACACACGGTGGAAAAGGTTAATACTCACTTCTGGAAGAGGTTTGACATTCCCAGTAATGAAGCAGTGGAGAGTACGGCCTCTCCCCACTCATCAGGGCGTTCCTCGGGGTCATAGAGTGTACGCAGGGCAAAAGACAATGCTGGAACACAAGAGACATTCTTACATAACTCTTTTATTTCTAAATTGTCACTGTGTGCCCCCTCATCAGTCAATATCTCTGAGAGTACACTTAGATCAAGTTCAAGTTCATTTTACAGTTTTTTTTATTTGCTTTGGTACTATTTTCACAAGTAAGGTGTACATTTTCAAAACTTTTAGTGCTAATATCACAACAGATCATCAAAAGTGCACTTTTTTCAAACATTTCATCATGTTTTCAACTGTGTTAGTACAATTCACACATCTACATTATTGTTTCATTCACAGTAACTGCCTTTCATAAAACTTTTGATTTGCATCTCTTTTTGTTCAGTTTAATACTTTTGTCTATTATTTAATCCAACTGATCTTAATGTTTAATCAATTAATCATTTGGTAAACCTATAGATTTTCAATTCAGCAATATACAGTGTATGGATTTTGAGAACTACAGAAATAAAATGTGTGTTTGTATGAATATTTACAAGTAAATTACATGTAACCACACATGATGAATACTCGTTATAGCTAATTGATTTCACATAGTGGTAACCACAATTGGCCACTGTAATGTGTGCACTAAATGTTATGTTTTGTTCTTATTTACGTAGTTACATTTCATTATAGAAAGTATACCTATGTTACAATTTTTTCTGAAAAATAAAAACTATAATTTGCCTAAATGATTGTAGAGGATGTCTTCATTGATCCTTCTCTTGATTAGGCCTACATATATGATGGATATTTGGAAATTATAGATTATGTACGTAAATGTTGGGTACTAAGTGTATTGCCTAATGTTACAGTAAAACTGTGTAATCTTTTATAGTACTGTAGCATATTCATTTCAGCACTTCTAAGGCCGATTTGAAACATGTATCTTGCATTGTTTGCTGTTGGATGAACTGATTGTTAAAAGTACTAAACTGAAAGAAGATTATATTGTTGTGTTTCAGTGATTAAACCAAATGTTCTCATTACATATTACAATAATCTTGTGTTTGAAATAATGATTATGTGGACTGAAAACATGTGCAACTGACTGAAAGCATTACAGGTTTTGAAAGAATGACTAGCTGCGTTACAAGTGTGATCAGTTTGGATTTTTGTACTAAGAGTTTTGAAAATGTACACCTTACTTGTGAAAATAGTACCAAAGCGAATAAAAAAAAACTGTATTTATATAGCACATTTTATAGCAGCCAATGACTGACCAAAGTGCTTTACAGAACTAAAAAAAAATTAAAAGACATTAACACCATGCATAGCAGCACATCATAGAAGAGTACAGCAAAGATAAGAACAGCTTAGAACAGGAGAAGCCCAAGCAATCTCAGAGTTATCAGAAATCTCACGTGACAGCAAGTCAACACGAGATGATGACACGGCTTGCCATCTACCGCTATAATATAATAAACATGATGCCTTTTTAGCGCGTACCCTCTTTATTGATGGAGTCATCTTTGACAGGCAGTCGGAGAGTCAAAGGACCTCTGAGAAGCCACTTCCTGTAGACAAGTCCTCTCTCAGATGCAGAACTACTAACTCTGCTGTCTTTCCCAATGACTGCAATTTCACAACACAAAATGGACAGCCTGAATTTCTCTATTTATACTGCCCTATAAAGCAAAAAGGCAGTACCTACGCAGAGTGCAGAACTGATAAAAATGACTATAACTCGGGCTTTTTGCAGTTACTCAACAAACGACTTGCATTTTTCTGCAGAATGACACACATTTGAGATAAGATGTTTTGAATTGAGTCAAAGGATGCCTTGAAAGTCATGAAAATGATAATAACAAATGTTTGAGCAAAAATGCAGTTACTGCCTTTTTGCTTTGTAGGGCAGTATAGGTAAAGTGTGTGATATCTGTACCCCTAACTGATAGTGTTCATGCAGCACATTGATGCTATGGTTACGTGTTCACTGTTCAGGCAAATGTGATTTCTGAAATTGCACATTGTTGACTAATTATGCTTTAAGATTATGAAAAGCTTACTATTGAAACAAAACAATACGATGAAAAAACACACAACAGCAACAACAACAACAACAACAATAACAAAAAAACAAAATGAAAACAAAACCCCCAAAACTACGGAAGCCCTGAACCGCAAAATTACAACTAAGTCGAAACATTTCGAGATTAAAGTCAAATATTTTGAGATTAAAGTCGCAAAATTTTGAGATTAAAGTCGAAACGTTTTGACATTAATCTCGAATTTTTTCTACTTTAATCTCAAAATATTAATAAAGAAGCTTACTTTTATCTGGGCTTTTAACAAAATTCTACACAGGTGCTAGTGACAGTGTTTTTGAGGTGTTTTCGTGCTCGTCTGGGCAACACTATCTGGGTCGAGAACACAACAGTAACTGTTCTGTGTCCCTCACCGTAAATACGCTCTGGATACATTTTAAATGCACCATTCTCTATTCAATCATTTGGCCATATCCTGTGATTTCCTCATATTTTAATGGTTGAGGTGAGATTTTCTGATAGTCTAGTATATTTTATAATGTTCTAATGGTAATGCTGGTAGATTGGCACCTGTTGAATTTCCTTTGATAAAACAAACACACACACAATCACACGCACACACAGTGTGAAACTCGCTATGTGCCATTATGAATACCTGTGTGTGCGGCAATTTGAGACAATGGCAAGCACACACGCAGCTTCTACGGAAGACTGTATTCTCGTACTGTCATCTCTCTAAATATTTCAACTTTAATCTAGAAATGTTTTGACTTTAATCTCGAAATGTTCCGACTTTAATCTTGAAAATTTTCGACTTTAATCTCGAAATATTTCGACTTTAATCTCGAAATACTTCGACTTTAATCTCGAAATGCTAGATTTTTTTTTTTAAAGATTTTTTTTTTTACGTTGCGGTTCAAGGTGAAAAAGATGTACAATTAAGTGTATTAAAAATGTACTTAAATATGTTTTTAGTACAATATAAATATAATGTAATGCATTTTTAATACACTTAATTGTACGTCTTTTTCCCCTTCCGTACAAAACAAAACCCCAAAACAAAAACAAAACAATTTTTTTTTTAAATGCATTGATATGGGAGCTGTACAGCCCCGTACCTGCTCTCTCAACATCCTGCTGTCTCTTGCTGTTGGTATACAACTCAATTAACGTGTCTGAACTACTCAGGAAGGAGCCATGTAGCTTCCATCTGACCCCCAGACATTCCAGTACTGCATCTATGAACATAAACAAAAAGGACATATGAATAGTATATCATCATTTTACATCATTCTGCAGAAATATGAATAGAATAATGACAGTGAAATATAAATATGAAATGAAATGTGAGTGCATTTTTTCCCCTGTAACTGTGCTAGCGAATTGTAGGTGGTTGCTATGGCATTGCTATAAATCAAAACAGCACATTCATAAGACTCTATGACCCATAGGGTTGCTCATTGTCAGGGAGTCACTATGGTTGCATCTGAAAGGGTGTTGCTTGGTGTTCTGAGTTCATAGGAGACCACCCATGCACAGATAATATTCTGGTCTCTAGATATTACTCTGGTGGTCCATACTTCAATGTAAATCTATGGGATTTATTTAGCCATTTTTATCCTCATTCAGGTGACAAATACAACAACTCACCTTTTATTCACAAATCACATAATTTGAGAGATATTTTTTTCCTGTATAACATGTTTTTTTTTAAATCCTTAAAGGTATAGACCCCTTTTCAGTTGGTAAACATGGTGACGTTTTTTGTGTGGGCGGAGCTTAGGTGGAGGCAGAACGATCCCTCTGGCCGCTTCACTAACGCTAGTTAGCAAGTATTGTTAGCTTGTTTTTTAACAATAACTGGAGTAAATCCGATTTTATCTTAATGTGTAAGTTCACTTAGTGTCCAGGACCGCGATTGTTATTTCCAAAAGTTATCTTTAACGGACGGAACCAGATTGGCCGACCCATAGGTGTCTACACACTCACTCAATGAATGGACGAACTGACAGGATTAATGTTACATTACCTCGGGTGAGTGGCCTGACTTCTACACCTACCTTATAGAGAAAAGGATCATAAAGAGAAACTGATGGCTAGATGCCTATATGGTCCTGTACAAGACTTGTGTGTATGATCCGCAGTTCTGCCGAGCCAGCGCCGAGACGACGACAATGTAAAAGAGTGACATTACAGTGCGATTTTAATGATGTGAATATTTTCTAGAAATAAAAATTCCAGATACGGCATATTCATTTTTCATCAATTCTTGCACCAGACAACATAACAAGATGACATTTATTAATATAACAATAATTTAAGCTCCTTATTATGTAGCCGGTTTGTATTGGCCGCCTCCAGTTATCACTTTGTTTTGCCTCCAGCTAGTGCTGTGACGTAACTGTGACGTTGGCGCAAAAGGGGTCTATAGTTTCAAAATTCTCTAATTTATTCACCCTCATGCCATCCCCGAATTAATATATGACTTTGTTTCTGCAAATAAATTGATCACACAGTGATTGTGAGGGTAATCCATTAGACTTCTGGAACAATTGACTTCTGAGCACCAGGTGATAGCCTATCCTAAAATCATAGGGTTAAAAGCTTAGGGTTTTTAACCCCTAAGCTTTTAACCCTATGCTTTTTACAATTATGATGGCTGGGTGTGTTTTTTCAAGTGTCAAACAAGTGTCAGCCAATCAGAGGCATTATAGGGACACACAGAGATGGATTATTTTCCTAAAAATCTTAATTTGTGTGTATCTGAAGAAAGAAAGTCATATACAATTAGGGTGACATGAGGGTGAGTAAATGAGAGAATTTCATTTTTGGATGAACTGTCCCTTAAACCTTTAATTTGAGGACTAGCAATAATGATTTCTGACTTTGCAAACACAGCCAATTAGATTTCCAATACACCATACCTGGTTTAGCGTTATGGGTTACTTTGTGAGACAAAACATCAAATCGTTCCTCTGGAGTGTTTGAAGACCATGTGACATCTTTGCTGTATATAAAGATAAAAGAGAGACATTACACTGTATGTACACACACACTTTGTCACTATAATCCCCTCTCATCCCACTGTGCTTGAGTGCCAAGTGTTCTGTGGCCCCTCCTGATAGTCTTTGTGTTCAAAGGCCCACCAAATTGAAAGTTGTCATTTTCTAATGTGCTATCCAACCTGCTCCATAATGATAGCATGTGGCTCGGCAGTTTTCCAACTGATCTATCCCCGGAGTGAGATAAACTGTCCCCCTCTCTCCTCGCCTGCCCGTCTCTCTCCCCCGCTAAACAGTTGTCATGGAAGTCCACTTGCCCCTGGCAACATACCAGAGTCGGGCACGTCGGCAGGCCGAGTGCGGGTGAACGAGACATGGCAAAGGGGAATGTGGGCCGCTAGCGGCAGTCTCGTGCCAGTGGAGTGCCATGGGGTCAGCTGCAACATAAACACACAGTGAGAGAAAATCTGAGTGTGTGTGTGTTTAAGAATATCCAGATATTTGAGCTTTGAGCAAACATATGTCTGTGACAGATGGCTGTGTGCGTTAATGAAAATGGGAGAAAAAATGAAAAATGAGTGCAAATTATGAACAACCCTTTTAAATGTGCTTTGTGTAATCACTCCAGCGATCAATGTTTGTTTGGACAGTTCTTATCTTTTTAAATCATGAATGTACTATATTTTTTTTTAAATAATGTTATGAATACTTTTGCACTTCTCATTAAAGGAGTGATTCACTTTAAAAAAAAAAAAAAAAAAAAAAAAAAAAACTTTTGCTGGTAATTTACTCATTCCATGTCATCCAAGATGTCCATGTCATTCTTTCATCAGTCGAAAATAAATTTTTTGATGAAAACATTCCAGGATTTTCTGGAATGGTTCAAGGTCCAAATGAGAGTTTCAGTGCAGCTTCAAAGGGCTTTAAACGACACCAGACGATGAATAAAAGTCTTATCTAGGACCCTTCGAGTCATGACTCGAAAAAAGATTTGTTCATGTTGATGAACGAGTTTGAACAGGAGAGTCACAAAGACTCATCACAGAACAGAGCAAGGCGAGCATTTGTGCTTAGAAAACTTAAACTTTAAAACTTTAAAACTCTTAAAATTTATTTTTTAAATGACCGATTGTTTCGCTAGATAAGACCCTTATTCATCGTCTGGTGTCGTTTAAAGCCCTTGGAACAGTTTGCAGTTTGCACTGAAACTGTCTTTTGGACCTTGAACCATTTGGTCCCCATTGAAGTGCATTATATGGAGAAAATCCTGGAATGTTTTCATCAAAAACCTTAATTTCTTTTCGACATGGACATCTTGGATGACATGGGGGTAAATTTTTTAAAGTGAACTACTCCTTTAATACTAATTAATCTCTCTCTCTCTCTCTCTCTCTCTCTCTCTCTAATATATATATATATATATATATATATATATATATATATAATTTTGTGTGTAATCGTTGCAACCCTTTTATAATAAAAGGTAGTGAATAGTTAATATTTTTTTCTAAACAATAGATCTTGTTAGTTTCAGTTATTCAGTTTTGTATATGTAGCCATTTGTTGGACATTTTTAAATAGAGATGGACAAAGTATTGGACAAAAAAGAAATAGAAATCCACTATCACTGGCCTGCTGGAATGGTGTAACAAGATAATAGCTAAAAGGAATAGTTCATCCAAAAGTGAAAATCATTTAATTACCCTAATTTTGTTTCAAACCTTTATGACTTTCTTCTGTGGAACATAAAGGAAGATATTTTGAGAAGTAATTTTGTAAAATAGAAGTCAATGGTCATCAAAAATGTCTGATTACCAACATTATCCCAAATATCTTCTTTTGTGTCCCACAGAAGAAAGAAAGTCATACAGGTTTGAAACAAGACAGTGTTTACATAACAACATTTTTTTATTAACATATTTGATTAACATATTTAAAACAATAGTTCATCCAAAAATGAAAATTCTGTTATTAACTATAGGCGATTCACCCTCATGATGTTCCAATGAACTGAGTGGTTTAGTCCAAATTTTCTGAAGAGACAAAGAGAGATCAGCTTGCTTTATATAATTAACACTTGATTTAATTTAGGCTTTTATTCACATATAAACATTCATCAATTCACACATCAGTTGTGGTAAACGGAAATGTTAGCTTGACGTGCAAGAACCAGTAAAGGTTCATTCTTGTGTTACACAGCATGTTTCAGCATCCGCGAGAACCAATGAGGTTCTGTTTATGTCCGCTGATCAATTTTAAATGTGAATAAAAGCCTTAATTAAATCTGGTCATAAAGCGACCGAGTCTCTTTAGAAAATGTGGACTAAACAGCTCAATTCACATGGATTAGTTTAACGATCTCTTTATTAACTTTTTGAAATGTCAAAGTAGTAGTTGTGTAACAGTTATTAGTCAATGGAAGGACAGAAAGCTCTAAGATTTCATCAAAAAGAATTTGTGTTCCGAAGATGAACAAAAGTCTTACGGGTTTGGAATGGCATTAGGGTGAGTAGTAAATTATGACAGAATTTCCATTTTTGGGTGCACTAACCCTTTAATAGTTCAAGAAAATAACACAAACACACACACAAAACATGGAGTTTTCTGCCTTCACGGCTTTAACAAATAATAGGACACCAGTTTGTTATTTGTGGAGAGTGTATTTTAACATCTGCATATTTAGTGTCTGTCAGCATTCAATTCAAGCAGACGCCTCTCAGCATGTTCACCTCTATGTAACCGCAATAGTCTGATTATTTTGAATTAAACAGACTCACAGAAGCCTGGCACATGAATGAAAAGCAGTACTGTCTTTCTTATTTCTTTTAAATAAAAAAGGGGGGTTTTGTAAAGGCTGTTCATGTGCGTAACTGCCAATTCCTCTTATACCACTCCTAAGCCAAAACCCTACAGGTGCCTATCTCTAAAATGATGCCAGGTTTGTGACACCAGGTCGGCGGGTTGGCATAGAGTGGCACTCGTATCCCCCTGGTAAACCTAGGATTCTGGCAAAAGTCAGTGCTGAAGACGCGCTGTGGCATTATGGGTAAAACCCATCGCATTAATGCGAGTGGTTACTCCTTGAAATAAAAGAGCTTTTTCCAAATCTGAACACTCTTACAGAAGAATAAATGTTTCATCATGAATGTTTCATCATTAATAATAGATACATTTGATCTATCCTGCTAAGGTTTTTTTCTCGTTAAGTTTTATAAATAAAAGTAAGAATATCAGACGTCTGGACTCACACTGCACTGACAGACTGACTGAAGAGATTTATTAAGTTGGCATGGAAAAGCCAACTTTCTGAAATCCTATTTAAAATTATTAGTGGTGCTTGCAAAGGCAAAGCAACACTATTGTTATCCGTCATACTTATAATTCTTAATAGTGGTTCTTGCCAAAGGCAAGGCATCACTGTGGCTTTTGCTCATACTTATTAGTGGTGCTTGTTAAAGGCAAAGCAACACTATTCTCTCGCATACTTATTAGTGGTGATTGCCAAAGGCAAGGCATCACTATTGTTATTGCTCATACTTATTATTAGCGGGTGCTTGCCAAAGGCAAAGCCCCAACTATTACTATTCCTTTTTTTTCCGCCAAAAGTTTGCAACTTCTCCCGTACCTTTTGTCACAGACCCACGAATGAGGAATCAAATTGTGCGGATTATTCGGGAATGGTGTGCTATGACTTTTCTATGCAGCTGAAAAAGTGATTTGCCACATTTGAAGTGGCTGACAGGCTCTGTAAGAACATACCTCACCGTGGCCCAAAATGCCCCATTAGCCGCGTTTCCACTGCCGGGCCAGGGCCAAGCCGTGCTAGTGCGTGCCAGGGCCAGTCGCGTTTCCACTGTTACTTCCGGGGCTTGATTTGGGCTTACTCAGGGCCAACGGGCAGGATTTCTGGCCCGTCGAATACCTTGGGCCAAAGCGGGCCAGCTCGGGCTAGAGGCGTGCTCAAGGTAAAAGGTGGAGTCATCGGTGTTATGGAACTTTATGATCTGAAGCAAGATGCACATTTCATTTTTTTATGTCGTGCAAAATAATTGCTGCTCGAAATGGAGAATCACCTATACTGGTCTGTCGAAGATACAAAAGCTCTTCTGAGCATTTGACCAGAAGAAAAGGTAAGAAACAAAGAAACGAGGATGTTATAAAATACATCTTGCTGAACTTTCTAAGCTAAGCAATCAGCGAGCAATGCTTCAAGTTTAGGAAAAAAAATAAAACAGTTCCGGACGCAATATTGTATTGTATTGGCGACTCGTGAGACAATCGGGACACTATTGCAGCCACGGCCGGTGAGTTAATATACATGCTATCTTCCTAACTTAAAATAAATAAATTCATAATACCTGCTGAAATGGGTTGGGTTGTATGTCATTTGATCCAGAAAGGGGCGGGGTTTAGGGCAGTGCTGCAGGGCTACTGGCCGGGAAGTGGAAACGCATGCGTAAGTGGAAACTTGACTATTGACTTACTATGACGAAGGTCGGCCCATGAAAGACATATGATTCTCCTGCTATGGTAAATTGCATAGGGATTTTGTATTGAACTTAGCTCTGGATCGCAGTGTCATAGAGACAAGGGGGCGGGCTCATTTTACTCAGACGACCAATCAGTCTCTCAGGATCATTATGAAGCTGTCAAGCCATGCCCTAGCAACCATTTATAGCACCTTAGCAACAAGTTACATTGACTGCCATTAGAAAAGAGATCAAAGGGCTAATTTTAGATAGAAGTGTCATTGAAACAAAAGGGTGGTTTTGTTCAGCTCGGGGGAGCAAACAGCCAATCACGAATAACCTCAACACTTCCTAGCCCCTACCTAGCAACCATTGTTGAGCACCTTAGTAACCAAAATCCAGAGAGGGATATCTTCATTCATACTGACATGCAGCCTTTGGAGTTTCATGATTAGCAGTTTCCAAGCCACTCCCTCGCAACCAAACAGAGTACCCTAGCAACCATTTTGCAAGACCTATATCTTTGCCTCAGAACATCATATCGAGATGGGGTTAACACAAGTTTGACTATGGGAAGCAAACAACCATTCATAAATCACCTCAACACTTCCTGGCCCATCCCCAGCAACCATTATCGAGCACCTTAGCAAACAAAATCCATAGAGGACTATCTTCCATTCTGAATGTCACAGAGGCATGGAAGTTGTACACTTAAAAAAAATAATATGCTTTATCTAATCAATAAAATTGTGGCAACATATTACAAGCAATATTATTAATTAAATTGTACAAATTAGAATTAATTAGAATGTTAATTTGATTAACTATTACTCAATTCTAATTTGTTCAATTTAATAAATAATATTGCTTGTAATCTGTTGCCACAATTTTATTGATTAGATAAAGCATATTCATTTTTACAGTGTATTATACCTGATAAGCAGTCTTTGGAGTTTCATGATTGGCAGCTGCCAATCTATAGCCTGGTTCTACCAGACTCTCGTACATACATTTCATTTGTACAGAGAGTCTGGCCTCCCTCAATTGAGAAACGTTTCCTTCCTTGTAGGCGGGTTCACTATTAAAGTTCAAATCTATTGGATCTGCCCAGAGTCACTCACGATCTGCCATAGCCAATCGCTAATGTGTGGTCGTGAGTGACGTATGTCATGCGCCGAAACGGCTGGAAACAACCATAGACAGTAAAAGAAACAACAAGTCCGAACTCCGAATGATCAGAGGATTAAATTTACAATAGGATTTCAGTCAACGAGAGCTGCAGGTTTTGTTAATCTAGGAACAATTATTAATTCGAAATGTATATTTGACATGAAGGACAGTGATTATTCAGTCAATGCTGTAAGTTACAGTGAATGATCAGTCTGTCTGCAGATGTGTAATAATTAAACAACAATTTTTCATATTACGTATTTTTGTTTCTTAATTACCTTAATTATGGTCTTCAAAGTATGTGTTTGTACATTTTTATATGGCATTTAGTTTTTTTTTATTATTAAAACAAATTAACCATTGACATCTAAAACTGAAAATCAAATATAGTCTCCAAAGTATGGGTTTTCAAATTTTTATTTATGACATTTTTTTTTTTTTTAAATCACAACCAATTTGTATGATTTACAACATGTAAAACTGACACACCAACCTCCTGTACGAGTGCACAAAGGGGCTCAAAATGTTCTATTCATCACAAGAATCAGTAAATTTACTGTTGGGAATCTGAGCGACTGACATGACTCCTGAGCGGATCTTCAACAATAGTTTAGCAGCCAGGACTCGGGGCTTCCGAACACCGCGAACACCAGGCTAAAGTCCAAAATGTCACGGTCATTGTGCACGAGCTGCCCAGCACAAACTTCCAACCTTTCTGCCTCCTTCACTTGGTCCTCCGTTGTGCAACAAGAGGTGAGACGACAACAATCCGGCTTTAAATTCTGTATATTCGGCAGTTTCTTTTCCAACAACGGACCGAATAGCTTTTCTCACGTCTTTCTCCGCTGCCATTACTGCACTCAAACTGACGCACTACATCAACGTCATCGTTCTCAGCCACTCCCTCTATTCGCTGATTGGTCCTACAAAAAATTGATTTCTGGAAACCTAAGGATATGGAGCGTCCCAGACGCAGTACTGAAGGAAAATGAAATTGAGCGGAAGTGCGTAGGCGGGCGCAGCCAGGCTAGCCAATCTACTCACAAGCAACCAAACAGAGTACCCTAGCAACCATTTTGCAACAGCTATATCTCAGCATCAGAACATTATTTTGTGATGGGGGTTGGGTCTTTTGACTCTAGCTAGCACACATGACTTCCAACATGCTAAACATGCTATCTCTATAAATCTCTATATTTCTAACTAATCTTTCCTTCTAACTAATCTTTCTTTCTAACTAATCTTTCTTTCTAACTAATCTTTCTTTCATTCTAACTAACAAATCTTTCTTTCTTTTTTAAACTAATATTTCTTTCTTTCTAACTAATCTTTCTTTTTTTCTAACTAACTATCTTTCTTTCTAACTAATATTTCTAACTATTCTTTCTTTCTAACTAATCTTTCTTTCTAACTAATCACTCTTCTTTCTTTCTTTGTTTCTTTCTTTCTTTCATTCAGAAAGACACATTGTGGTTGTGAAATATTAGTTAAACATGTCTCTTCATACATTTATTACTGTAAGAACTGTCACATCTGGAGATTAAAAGTCATTTTGGTACAGTATAGCTTTATGAAATATACAGTGTTTAGATATTTGGTGGGTCTATACTTCATAAGATATTTTGTATTGTGTTATCATGTTTTTTGATCTGATGTTTTACATGTACTTATGGTCATTGTTTTTTATTATATTTATTATTTTATTGTTATCAAAGGTTTCATGTATTAAATGTATTTATATGGAATAATGTATTGTTCAAAATTTCCTTAATACTTATATCTGAGTTTTAGTAATATTCCTGATCCAAAATGTGTAATTTGTTTGCATTTATGGGCTAATTGCACAACTCACCTGAATTATTTTTTCTGTCTGACGATTTACTGCAGAACTCATCTGCCTTCTGAACCTGTGCCTGTCCCAATAGGTCACTGCCTAAAGCACCAGGCAGCTGCCAGCGGTTAGTGTGGCCAGCTTGTGTGCGCTGGCCTAGTGAGCGAGCTGACACCTGTTAGAATCATAGAATAACAGTACTGTGATTTGCTAAAAGTTTCGAAGACAAAGAAATATATTTGGTAAAGAGTCACGAAAAAGATTCAAACTTACACTTCTTGTAGAGTTTTGTTGTGAAATGTAGGAGGTTATTAGCACCGACCTGAAAAACAAAAGTACAGAATGGGTAGCCAATTAAAATCAACTGTGTATCACACGAAATACGTTCTGAGGAAACTATTTTGCAAATCGTACGTTACATGCCAACATGTGCTATTACGTTTGTCCTTAACGTAATACTATTGCAGTGCTATTACGTTTTTCCTGAACATAATACATCCAAGCAGGTTTCTTTACTATTTATGCATAATCGTGGCATTAAAATTTTGACTCTTTTGCATTCAACTGTCATATCAATTTCGCATTTATTAATATAATAGACCAACGTTACTCATAAATATATAAAAAGCATTTTCTCCAATAAAACACAACATACTGATACAAAAGACATACATTTTATTAGCTTGATGTAAACCAAATCCTAGAATCCATACGTTGTTTGCAAGAAACAGATCCAAATCCAGCATTTTATCCAGTGATCTTCATCTTCATTTCTCAGCAGCGACCGCAAACGTCAAATCCGCGCTGGTGATTAATTCAAATTCAAATAATGCGCCTTCAAGAAGCGTTACGACATGTTTTACGGCAGTGATATCAAACGCTCATTGGCCCTCGCCTGCTTCGTCACAGATTGCGACATGCCGTGTTTCAGTCGGTGTAGTACATTTACATTTGAAATGGAGAAGAGCGCGCGCCTTCAGACAGAGAGCGAACCGAAATCAGATTAACATTTTGGATTAACGTTAATAACTTTAATTCTGATCTGTACCTCATACACAACTACTATAATACTGCCAGAGGACTGCGACTGCAACGCATCATCATGTGAACGACTTTTGGTAATGTTAATAATAAATAAATAAATTATTGTGAAATGTATCTGTCTGTTATGTTTTTTTTTTTTCTTAATTGTGTTACCTACATAGTTTTAAGGAATGGTTATGGTTAGGTTTAGGGATAGGAGTGGGATTAGTGTCTCAAAATATATTTTAATGCTAAAACTCATTTAACTACACATCTCTGTCCATTACGTTTTATCCTTTTTATATTCTGTATAAAATAAATATGTTTTTTTGGAGTAAGATTAAGGGGTCTTGTTACATGTATCTTTAAAAGTGAAAGTATACAGATATCGTTATGATATGAAACATATGTAAATAGTTAACGTTTTGTAGCTGTAAAAACGTAATAAGGTTACGTTTAAATGTTGCAAATACGTCCATATTATACGTTTTAGCATCTATCCAAACGTACAAAAACGTACGTTACATATCTTTGAAAATAACGTATTAAATCTACGTATTAACAATGAGACATATTACGTTAAGGACCAACGTAATAGCACTGCTTATATGTTGGCATGTAACGTAATTGCGATTTGCAAAATAGTTTCCTCAGAACGTATTTCGTGTGATACAGGGTTGTTTAAAATGAACAAGCTTTATATCTCTGAAGTGCAACAAACACATTCACATTGATGTGAGAAATCAATTAGGGACAGTATATTGGTGTCTAATATAGCATACATTCAAGCAGGGGTTTTCAAACTGAGGTCTGGGGGCCACTGTCAGGGTTCTGCCCTGGCAGCTTTGTCTGTGTTGTCTTTGTTTTATGTCTTTATGTTTGTGTTGTGCTTGAACTTGTGGTTTTGTTTGTGTTTGCCAATGCTCATTTGTTCCTGCCTCCTTGTTTCCCTGTGCCACGCCCTCTTGTCTAGTTGAGTCCTCGTTTGCCTGAGTGTCACCTGTTCCTCATGTTTTCTGCTCCCTTGTTTAAGTCCTCGTTTACCTGAGTGTGGTCAGCTGTTCCTCTTGTTCTTAGCTCCCTTTATATGTGCTCTTTCCCTCATGTGTTTGCCAGTTCGTTAGATGTTATACTACTGTGTACTTCATCGTTTAGTTCTTGTGACTAAGGTCTACAGTGTTTTATTTGTAGAAGTATTTTGTACTTTGATTCTGTCATCTGTCCTGTCTGCCTAGTGTGCTGTGTCTGTAGTTCCAGTCCTGCAAGCAGAGTGTCCCTGGCTGCTTACACTCTTTGCTTTGGAGCAAGCCTGGTGCTGAGCCTGAAATCCCTGAGTGCCTGCTGTAGTTCTTGGAAGTTCCTGTCTGGCAACTGTTAGTATCATCAGGTCTCATTACTACTCTCCAGCTACCTTTCATAGTGCTAGTACTACTGCTACTCAGCTAGTTTCTACGGCTGTCATTGTGTCTCATCCCTGCCTATTGTCAGGACTGCAGTCCATGTTCACCAGAACATGCAGAACATGTTCACCTCTCCCACCATTGGCATGTTCACCTCTCGCCTGAAAAGGCTCAATAAACTATTGCATAGATAGATAATGTATAATCCACTGTGTGAGAAAGTGAACCTCACTTCTCACTGTTGCGCGCTCCCGCATTGACTGAAGGATTATACGCGAGAGCGGGAGAGACTCTGGACATTTGCATACACATTTGCACACACACACATGCTCCTAGATAAAAATGATGCCGGGCTAATTATATTATTTTGTGAAGGTGTAAGGATCGCTAGTGAACACGGTCGGGAGGGGTGTGTGTAAAGAGAAGGCTGGCGCGAGGCTAGGCGCCGTTAACTCATTCGAGTTGGTGTGTTTGTAACGCGGGTAGTCCGCAATTTCATTCATAAAACTCAAACCTAATTTGTCACTGCTTATAATTTCCTATTTTTCCATCTACATGACATATAGTGCGGTACCCACTAGTTCATGTCCCATTTACTCAATGTTTCTGTCTAAAATCCTAGTAAATTCATACATATTGTGACTCACGCATTTCCTGCATCCCGGTCCGGTTCAACTGATTCCTATGCGGATGCGCGCGCCGCTGTAGGGGCAGTATTTATCCGTGTCATGGGACAGAGGGTGCAGAGCATTGTTCACAGGGGTGTTTGTTTGTAATAATGTTTTGTATGTATGTCGTTGGTGTGAGTAGATGGTATCAATGAGGTATAAAATGATGGTGATATGATGATTATTATTTTATTTACATGTAATGTTTATTTACTATTTAGATTAGAGCTTATTTGTGGCCTTAAGCTTAATGTTATACCCTGATTGTTGGTATGGTCCAATTTGGCTTAATGCTTTGGCCTATTTAAGAGAGCCTCATTTTGCCTTTGGGGAGAGAGAGGAGTACTAGCTTGTTGTGAGGCTATGTACAAAGTGTTGGCTGTAATATTGGTGAAAGCCAGAGGCATTATGCTGTTTTTATTTTTTTATTTTTTTTGTTTTCTTGACTTCTGAGTTAAAATCTAAATAAACTTTATTCTGTTTTCTGGAACCAATTGAGTTGTGGTAACCGTCTTTTCCACCTCCACCACCTAAAGTCAGTGAGCCTACACATCCCAGTATTTGGGGTGCCCTCGGTACCCCACATTTGGTGGCAGCGGTGGGATGGTACGCTGACCGACACTGGCTAATAGAGGAGGAAAACGGTGCCAGTCCAGGGAGAGAATGGCATGCAGGCGGAAAGCCAAAGGTGACCCGAAGGAGGTTGAGGATACCGATGAATGCCCAGATGGCGAGGCTGGGGCCCAAGCATTGGGCGGAGACCAGCAGACAGAGGGTACTGATCTAGCAACCCTACGACAGCTCCTTGAGAAGACTCTGCAGACACATGAGAGGGAAGCGTACAAGCAGGAGCAGCGCTGGAGGAGTGTGCAGATGCAGCTGAACCAGTTGAGGGATGACGTGGAGACAGAAAGGAGGTCCCCACCTACAGCTCCACCGGGGCCTCAACCAGGAGTGCCAGCTCAGCCGGCAGCACCAGCACCGGCTCCAGCGGCCTGGGCCAGATCAGCCATTCCAAGGTACGAGGAAGGGGACGACATTGAACAGTACCTCACTACGTTTGAGAGGCTGGCCACAGCTTACCGCTGGCCTAGAGAGGACTGGACAGTGGTTCTGGTGCCATACCTCACTGGGAAGGCCCGTAGCGCCTATGTGGCCATGGGTATGGATCAATCGATGGAGTACGACAGGGTGAAGGAGGCAATACTGTACAAGTATGAAATCAACGAGGAGGTGTACCGGAGGAGGTTCCGTGAACCGGATGTCAGACCGGGAGAGACCCCTCGTGAGCTGTACACCCGCCTCAAGGATTTATTTCAAAAGTGGATTAGGCCGGCAAATAAGTCGGTCGAAGAGATCGCTGAGATACTTATAATGGAACAGTACCTCCTCACTCTGACACCAGACATTCGAGTGTGGGTGAAGGAGCACAATCCCCAAAATGGTCAGAAGGCGGCTGAACTGGTAGAGAACTTCATGGCGGCCCGACAGACCCACAAACACTTCCGTCTGGAGTCACAGACAAGATCGGTAGCCCGTGGGAGGTCTGAGGGCTTTGGTCCGGGGAGTGGTGCAAAAGTTAGTGAGCCCAGTCGAATGCCTGCCCGTAACTATTTTGTTCCAACTAAAACCAGAGATAGCCTAGATCCAAGAACCGGAGCTCCGGTGGTATGCTATTTTTGTGGTCAGGAAGGACATATAAAGCCTGAATGTCCGAATAGGAAACCAAAGCACTCCAGCCACAGCTGTATTCCTCGTCCAGAAGAGGGCGTGAGGGGAAGGCTACAGACGATGCCGGTTCAAGTGAATGGTAAAGATGCTACTGCCCTACTAGACACAGGAAGTACCCAAACACTTGTGCAGCCCCACTTAGTGGAGAATAGGGACTTTGTGCAGGGTAGGAAGCTGAAGGTTCTGTGTGTCAATGGGGATGCACATGAGTATCCGACAGCCGAAGTACACCTATATATTAGAGGACAGACATACCAGATGATGGTTGGTGTAGTGGAGAGGCTGAGCCATCCTGTTGTAATAGGCCAGGACATTATTGTGCTACCAGAGTTAGTGCAGTCCAGCAGACCAGTGAATATGGTCATTACTCGATCCCAGAGCCAAACACAGGACCCTGAGAAAAGGGAGATAGATGAGTCAACTGAACCAAATAGCCTGTTAGAGTTGCCCTTTTTGGAGGGGGAGAATACCCCTCCAGCCAAAACAAGGTGCCGGAAAAC